ACCATTTTTTAACTAAAAATTATAGATTGATGATTTTTCCCCATACCTACCTTTAAATGATACAAACTAATCATTGAATTATTTTTAGGTATAATCACTAACAGCTGTAATGTTGCAAGATAAAAGCTTAATTAAATTATAAAAATCACAATCATATAAAATAATAAATGTACACAATTTTATTTTAATTGATATTCATAAATTAAATTTATTCTTCTCTGAGTTTTTTTGAAAATCATTTAAGACCGATTCCACATCAATATTTATGTCGTTTTCTTTACTAAGTAAGCCCAAACTACTAAAACGAAATTTAGGCTATGATAATTGTTATCAATTATTACACTAAATAATGGACAATGGTAGGTAGACCAGTGTAACAACTGATAAACTAAATGTAGGGTTCGCATAAAAGATTGATTAATTTATAATGGTTCAATAAAATTTTATGGACCATAAAATCATGGGCCAATAAACCATGTTTAAGGGACCAATAGCTCACTATTGGTTCAATAAATGTATAGTGATTTTTCATGCGATCCGCCATATTATATTATGTACGATGTACCTATATATCTAATACACAAAATAGTTACTGAATTTTAACTGATTGCTGTCATTAAGTTATATAATATTGTTAAACAATATGAATGTATAAGACATAAGAACTTGGCTCGTTATTCAAGAGTCATTGTAAGTTGTAACTATCATTAAGTACCTATCTAAAATTAACTACCTACGTCACAACTTTATAATATAATAATCAAATCGAGGAAATTGATTGTGGCGTTTTGGCGATGGTTGATTAATTTTGACACTGTAAACTAATTCGTCTTTCAGTTCTATCGCATCATAATTATTATTTATCTGCAGGTTGGATTACTGATGTTGTCATTTTCTGAAAGTAGTTATAACTTCAGTGTACCTAATCGAAGATCAATACACTCACTATCCGTGTACGTGTTCGGCGGAGTAACTCGAAAATAAATAAATATGTTTTTTTTTTAATTATGCACATGATTTAATATGGTAATGATTTTAAGTTCCTGACAATTTACTCATGAATTATTTACTATTATTGTATGCAAATTTTCAACATGAATGTACTGAGAGTGCATAAAGCATACCTACTTATTTAATATGATATATAGGTATTGATATGATCGTATTGCACTTTGGGCTTATTTTTACTCAATTAATAGTTTTATATACCTACTAATCTTTATTCGTTACTAAACACTTTTAAAAGATGTCAGGCAATTGAAATTTATCACTTTTTAGTTAACATTGAATTTAAACTGGTGTCAATAATGAAAATATGGGTCGATATATATTTTTGTCAGTATAGCTATGATAATAATATTATATACAATTATTGATTATGCCTTTAATATCAGTGTTTCCCAACCTTTTTACCACCACGGACCATAATTTTAGCAAACTAGGAAGACCTTTTTTTTTTTTTGCTCTTTAACAAGAATACACAAAAATTTATTGGAACATTTTTATTATTTTACTGTACTATTATAATTATTAAACTTTACTAATAATTTACTTAGTGTGATTTTTGTATACGATAAGATAACCGTATATTACGGTAAAATAAAATATTTTTCACTGTTTAAAAAAAAAAAATAATTTTTAATAGAAAACTAAGAAAGGTACCGCGGACCACCTATGACTTGCCCACGGACCACCGGTTGGGAAACACTGGGGTATAATGGCGCATGGGGGCAAAATGAACTATTGTGTATAAGTAATTTAATAATTATTGCTATCTGGTCAAACATTTTTGTTATTATGATTATCATAGCCAAACGTGATAAAACATTTTTTTCAGCAATTGATGATGTTTTGGCGGCAATATTAGGTAAAATATTAATTGTAATTTGTATTCGTCTGATGTAATATTTGAGTAGTATAGAAGTAGTAATGTGTACTATATAACGACACGTTAGATGTTGCTTTTATATATATTCGTTTAGTACAAGTAGGTGACTAAACGTAAATACTAGTAAAATGTTAATATGATAACAACTGAACAGGCCCTGATTTACGCAAGTGCAGATGGAGCACTTGCACTTGGCCCCCAATTTTTGGGGGCCCCCGATCTCCGTGAATTGTAGAAAATTTTCTGTATTAAAATTTTTTTTTAAATTAATTATTTTTAATAAATTATAATTCCCATAGACCTTATACTAGTATAAGTTATTCTTCACCTCAATACGTCATATTAAAATAATAATAATAGAAAATTGTTCGAACATCGGAAATATTTGATACATAATAACTATTTATAGATTTCTTCCAGCCCAGTATTTACTGATTAACCGGTCATTGGTGACGCATTTCGCTCCCACAATTACTATTTTTAGAACTATTGGTTTAGGTTATTCAGTTATCCACGGAAATGAATATCGCAAAACAAATGTTATAAATAAACTAATATATAAAAAAAAAAATTTTGAATCAGTTATCGAAACTTTTGCAGAGAAAAAAGCAAGAAAGAAATCTTTTTAAACTTTTTTTGTGATAAAATGTTATAGCTAAATAAAAATATAAATAGGTATAGAAAATATAGATAAATGATTTATTTTTTATTTCATTTTAATTGTATAAAATAAATTGTTAAATTAACAAGTTATTTACCATTTTTATAATTTTATGGCAGATTGATAATTAATTATGTTATTTAATTAGTATTATCTTTTCAATGTCCTTAATTTACCAGACCAAGTAACTAAATTGTATTTATAGTATATGAAATAATGTACAAATATTTTATGAATTTTGAGATATTTATTTAGGTAATACTTAACATATAAATATTTTGTTTTATTATCAATATTTCCTCCTACTCTCTGTATAGATTTTCTCTAGAACATTTTTTTGACTTGTGGTGGTGGCCGGTGGGGATAGGGGGCCCCCAAAAAAATTGTGTACTTGGCCCAAATTTTATTAAATCAGGGCCTGCAACTGAATATACTACAATACTGTTTATGCAGAAAATCGTATTGGGGTAAAATGGCTTAGTGGGTTTTGGGGTAAGAGTGCGCAGTACTTCTTATATGATAATTGATTACCTATTTTTATAAACATTTAATTTTTCTAGCTAGAAATTGAATTAATTATATCTATTTATTTATTAATTTGTTTAAACTAATAGGTACATTATATCTACGATGTATCAACAAATGATTAAATAATATTATGTAATATTTATAATTATACTTACAAAAATTACTTCGACTTAGTATTTATTACTAATACTGTATTATAATTATATATTATATTAGGAACTTTTATATTATGCATGCATATTATATATATTTATAACTTATTATTTGATAAAAATAAAATAGATAACATTCTTTAATAAAATTTTTATGAATTAATTTAGCATGCGGCCTATTACCCCATTAGGTGCGCACTTTTACCCCAATAACGGGGTAAAAAGACGCGTTTGTTATAATTTCTAATTATTCAGAATTTTTGGTAATTGCTTTGGTAAATTTAAATTTTGACCTGAAAATTGAAATCTACGTAATATTTATGATAAGAAAACAATAGAACAATATTTCTAAGACTTGTATGCTACCACATACTAGCTGTTGAATGTTAGGTGCGCCAATATACCCCAGGTTACTCTATATACTTTTGACAAAAAGTAGGGAAAACTGTAAAACAATTAGTTTCATAATAATATTTTTATACAAATAGGTACTTTATTACATATTATACTAACCGCTACCACTTAATTATCTATACGAATCATTACTAAATACTTATAAAAAATGTTGGGCAATTGAAATTGATCACTTTTTCATTACTGATAGGTACAACAATTAGGTAACATTGAATTTAAACTGGTGTCAATTTAATTATGAAAATACGACACAATTTGAATATTTTGTCGAATGGCAAATCAAGTCGATTGTTGCGAATTATTGTTGAAATAGAGTAGTCTATTTGACGGAAAAATAAACATTTTTAATTCATTATAGCAGTAAATATGTATACTAATTTTATATATTAAACTGAGTTACCCGTCGTTGCCGGATTTATGTATTGTTGTTTCTGGTATGATTAAATATTGTCTAGCTGATATTATTAATATATACCTGGATATAATATTATATTATAATATTTAATATTGTATAATAGATATCCTGGATATATTTGGTCTGTGAGTTATCTCATAGATTTTACAACAGTACCTACCTAATTCGGTCGGTAAAGTAATTTTTTCTTCATATTCCGGATATATTCCATCTCCTATTTTTGGAGAGTAACTCTGAACTGCTTAGAAGTCCTGTCTCCTTTTAAATGTATTATTCGCATATTTATGGTCAAAGAAACTTTTTCTATTTGAGGCCCCACGAATATGAAGACTTGTTGCATGCCGCGATTTCATTAGCTCGAGTTCCTCTTGGTACGACTGGTAGAGTTTGTCGAAAATCCCATCAATAAATTCGAATTTTTCAGTTCTTTTAGACAGTTGTTTAAAGCTTCAAATCAATTCTTATGAGACATTGGACTTTCATCCCAAACTATAAGCTTGCATTTTTTCAGAACTTTAGCCACATTTGATGTGAATTTACCTTTTACTGGGAATATATCTACACCAAATTCAGCGTAAAGATTATTATTATAAAAAATTTCAAAAATACATATTTGAAAATATTTCCAGCTGCAAACAATTCGCAGGAACCACTGTACACAGTATAGGGTTGCCCATATCACGAACATAATTCTCAGCAGTGGAAAAGTTGTCAGTATATGAACTGTAAAACATATTAATAAAGGTATTCCAATTATCTGAAACATACGCAACCATCAGTAGCGCAACCAGAAATATCCTTTGGGGGGGGTCCAAAATTATATTACAACAGATATAAACATAAATAATTGTGTTAATAATAAATGTATTTTTTATTTGTGTTACCATATTAATAATAAAATGTATATATAAAAAAAATATAATGAAAATATATCAAATAAAATTATAAAATAAAGTCTAAACGACGCTTTAAATTCGATAAACGCTGTATTACTTCTTCGGACTTGACATCAATATCATAGTGAATATTGAGAGCAGCTAGTCCATTCAATCTCGATTCGGACGTTGAGTTTCTTAAGTAAGTTTTAATGCGTTTGAGTGGAGAAAATGATCTTTCAGCTTCGCAAGATGTGACAGGAAGTGTGACCAGTATTTGCAAAAGCTTAGAAACATTTGGAAATAAATCTGAATTGCAATTATTCAATATGTTGATGGCATTTTTTGTTTTAATGTTACTATCATCTAGATAACGATTCCATAGTAAAATTTCTGATTTCACAAGATCTCGTAGATTGTTTACATCGACATTCAATTTTTTTAATTCAGTAATTATATGATTCGCTAAACTTTTACCACTCACATCATGTACTGGAATAAATTTTAAAAAATCTTCACGAATATTTTTGTTTTTCTTATCATAATAACGGGCACATAGAGCAAACTGTTCAGTACCCGATATATCAGCGGTTTCGTCCGCTATTATTGAAAAAAAATTACTTTCATTAATTCTATTTACAATTTTTGATGAAATAATTTCATAAAAAATGCTAACAATTTCATTTTGTATTTTCCAACTTATGTATTGTGCATTTCTACCACAATTTTCTCTTGCTAATATAAAACTTTCATCGCCGGATGTAGCAGTTGCCTTAAGGAAAAATCTCAATAACGCCAAACAAAATTTATTATACTTACAATATATTATTATATTCCCAAATTAATTAAAAAATGTTCCATTTTATAAATACTCAAGGGGGGGTCTGGACCCGGGGACCCCCCCTTTGGTTGCGCCACTGGCAACCATTGTATTTCGGATCTCCTGCAGACATCTTTCTTGTACGTTAAACAAATGAAAGGAAATTGGACGGAAAAGGCAGGCACTATCACCGATAATTAGTACAACTAATTGAGATGTCAACATTCCATTCACAGGAATTTATTCAATAGATGACATTTTTAGATTCTGAATAAAACGATGAATGTATTGATTTTATACCTAATAATGTGTTTTTTTTAATTTTTTTTTGTGTCTGTCATCGCCTTTTAGGACAGTAAAAATGCTTAGATTTTTTTCAACAGTATTTTTTCTGATAGGAAAGTGAACTACTTGGTACTATGGGGAACCAAAAGTAAGTTTAATTTTATAAAATTAAATTTAAAGACAATTTTTAAACATAATCTGTTTTTGAAAATATCGATTTTGGTTTTTGGCTCAACTCAAAAACAAATGACCGTAGGTACATGAAATTTTGACTGAATGTTTATATTAGCATTTTCTATACACCAAAACATTTTAAAATTATTTTGACTTATTTTGAGCTGTTTATGGACATTCTCGGTTCCATTTCTTTTCTATAAATATCAATAAAATTTTATTTGTTGGTTAAAAAAGCTTGAAAATTTAATAGAAGGCTCCTAGTATATTATTTCAATGGCAGATGCAGAAAATTAAAAATCCATAATCACATTTTTTTTTTTATAAGCATTTAAAGTTCAAATATTGACAAAATACGTAAAAATTACGAAAATTTGCAAATTATTTTGGTTTGAAATTCATAAAAAATTTTCTTTTTAAATCTAAGATTTTAAAATGTAATACAAGATTCCTCATGAGTTTGTCTACATTTATGAAAAAAAATATGTCTACAAGAAACTCAAATTAAATTTTTATGAGCGTTTGAAATTCAAATTTTTACAACATTGGATACTCACTCGATTTCTCATGCAGCGATTTCCTTATTTTGTTGTAATTCAAAAACGAATAACTGTAGATACTTGAAAATTTCACTGAATGTTTAGATTAGCATTTCCTATACACCATACAATTTTGAAAATAATTTGACTCTATTTGAGCTGTTTAAGGACATTGTCAGTTTTCAATACTTTTAGTATTTTTTTTCTATAAAAATCAATTAAATTTTATTTGTTTTGTAAAAAGCGTGAAAATTTAATGCGAGGCTCGTGATATATTGTTACAATAGCAGTTGAAAAATATTAAAATTACATAGGCACAGTTTTTTTTTACAAGCAATTAAAGTTCGAATTCTTACAAAATATATCACTATATTCAATATTATCACGATTATAGATAAAACTATAAAAGAACAAATAGTACACATTTCAAATTTCAAAATTACAAATGACAAATGGTAGTTGTTAATGTTTTTGATAATTCATTTTATATATTTTAGTAATGTATAAAAGCAATTATCAAAAACATTAACAGTTAATATTTTGTCATTTTTAACTTTTGGATAAATTTTTTTTGTTTTTTATCTTTTTCTTTAGTTGTGCATGAATGAATGACCTAGTCATTTAATTGCCTAGACACCTAGTAAATAATTGTATTGCTTTTATTTTAAGAAAATGCTGGGTGCGAATAACGTGCTATGTTATTAAATTTCTGATTTTCTACTTATTTGGGTCCTGTGCTCCTGATGAATAAGACATATATAACCTAACCTAACCATACACTGTACGGGTACATTTTATGTTACGTTTATTCAATTATTTAGGAGTGTTCATATTAATTCACAGCACGGAAATACTAATTATAAGTTATAGGTAAGTATACTCGTCCAATATGATACCTGCTCGGACGGTGACGTACGCAGGATTTTTCAATGGGGGTGGGGGGCTTGAAAATTAGTTACAATTTTTTATTTTGTCCAGTCTAATAATTTCAGACGTTTATTTGAAGTATTTTAAAATGTTTGTAACTCCTCAACTTTTCTGGTAGAAAAATTGCTCTGGTCATAAGCTTCGATGCCCACTGTATGTTTTTGGAAGCAAATTGAATCTAGTTGGTACTTTTAGGAGGTCCAAATTGAAAATGCTCAATGCCTTCTAAAATAATTGAAAAAAAAAATTATGTTAAAATTGTTTGGTAACCATCCTGGTTATTTACGCCGTCCTCCTCACATGGATTGTATTTGATTAACTAAACATTTTTTTTTCTATAAATGTCAATAAAAACTTATTTATCCAGTCAAAAAGCTTAAAAATGTATTATATAAGTTTTTATCATACCTAAAATATTAACGATACATAACCACATAGGAATTATGGTTATTTTTTATAAGAAAAGTTCAAATTTCGTCAAAACTTGCACAGTTAATTAGTTTTGTAGTTCAAAACTTATAAAATATTAAATGCTTATAGCTAAGGCTGGACAATTTAGTATACAAGGTCTTTCATACGAGTAGTTCATACTTTTATCGAAAAATTACAGATAATTTTAGGAAAATTTGTAGCAAATACGATGTTTTTTTTTCAAAAATGAATTAATTCTTGTAAGACGTGTATGAAATTTACGTCTTACCTATACTTACTGCATAGCTGACAGTTGAAACTTGATAAATATTTTTTTTTTAAGTAATTATAATACCGTCAATAGGGGGAGGGGGCTTCAAGCCCTTAGCCCCCCTGCGTACGCAACTGTACTCGGATGGGCCTACACCACCTGTGGCGTAGTGTGTGTGTATGCTGTGTAGTGTCTATGTACAACAATTATTTCGGTATCTTATAATTATAGTACCTATATTATTTTGTGGATTATCTTCATATAGTTCATTGTGATTGTCGATTGAATTTAATGATTTACCCACGGCCGGATTTGTTTTGAACTGTTTAGGGACATTTTCATTTTCCATTTTTTTTTTAGTTTTTATTCTAAAAATATCAATAAAATTTTATTTGTTGCTTTCGAAAGCTTGACAATTTAATAGAAGGCTCCTAGTATATTGTTTCAAAGGCAGATGAAAAATATTAAAAATCCTCAGCCACAATTTTTTTTTATAAGCATTTAAAGTTCAAAAATTGACAAAATATGGAAAAATCACGAAAATTAGCAAATTATTTTGGGTTAAGAATTCGTAAAAATTTTTCTTTTTAAAACTAAGATTTGAAAATGTAATACAGAATTCCTCATAAGTATGTCACCTTTATCAATAAAAAAATCTCTACCGGAAAGTCAAATTAAAATTTTATGAGCGTTTGAAATTCAAATTTTTACAACATTGGATATTCACTCGATTTCTCATGTGGCGATTTCCTTATTTTGTTGTAATTCAAAAACGAATAACTGTAGATACATGGAAATTTCACTGAATGTTCATATTACCATTTCCTATACACTGTACAATTTTGAAAATATTTTGACTCTTTTTGAGCTGTTAACGGGCATTTTCAGTTTTCAATTTTTATAGTTTTTTTTTTTTTTTTTTATATCAATAAAGTTTTATCTGTTGGGCCAAAAAGTGTAAAAATTTAATACAAGGCTCCTGATATATTGTTACAATAGCAATTGAAAAATATTAAAAATATATAAGCACAATTTTTTTTTTATAAGCATTTAAAGATCGAATTTTGACAAAATTTATCAAAATCTCGAAAATTATCAATCATCGTAATTAATAAATTATAAAATGTTCAGTTTTTATAGCTCAGGATTGCAAATTTAAAACAAAGGTTCTCATAAATAGTTCATACTGTAACCAAAAAATCTAAAAAATATATGAACACAGTTACATTTTACAGACATTATAAATTCAAATTTGAACGAAATTACATAATAAAAAACCTAGATTAACTATTTTAGTTATTTTGTTGTGATTGTATAATATTTTTCGTGGGTACTTGAAACTTCTAAAGTATACTACTATATATCTATGATAGTATCAGGGTTTGTTGTTGGTGTATAACGCGTTATAAGTACCTAATAGATATTGTGATATGATTAATTTGGAATTCATTATAGGTCAATTTTTTTTAATACCATAGATAAGTATATAATATGTCTTATACCTAGGAGGACACACCGTCTCCGCTCAGAATCGTTTTTCTTATACGATATAATATCGTTAAATTCAAATTTAATACCATCAATTATACAGTGACCCACTTATAACCTTCTGTACAGCAGAGCGACACTCACTTGCCCACCTTTCTTTCCATTGGTTCAAACATGCAATTTTAAATTTTAGTTGAATATTTTTTTTTAAATACAGGTAGGGGAGAGTGGGGCAGATTTGAATGCGGGGTACATTTGAATTTGTCTAATATAATTTGTTACAGATTATTTACATTCATAAAAATAATAATCTAAGTTGGTGACAATATTTTGTATACCATATGTGATTATCAGGCATTTTTGAATAATTTTGTGATAAATAAAAATGATAATGTGATTTTCCGGCTTTTTTAAAAAAAAAATAGGTGTTTCCATAAGAACATTTTGGAAACTAAAATTCAAAATAATAAGTTTAGAATTAAATATACCTATTCAAAATATTGTTGCCTAGTAATACATTTAATGTACATACATTATTTATAATTATTAAAATTTATATTACGATTATTATTGATTATTTTGGCATGGGGTAGATTTGAATCTTCATCAATAGGGTAGATAATAGGGTGTAATAAAGGTTCCTCCTTTTTGAAATATCTATCTTATGGATGGAATATACTAGTTAACTGGATTTATGTCACAAGATGTGGATTTATCTATAAGAAAACCCAAAAATACTACATTTTCACAATAAAAAAAAAATTGACAAGAAAACATCTAAACATAATTGTAAAAAATTGTTATTATATTATATTGAGCTATTTTTATTATTAAAATAAATAAAAAGTTTAATTTAATTTAATATTTAACATTCAAATGTGGCTTTTAAGACACATATTCAAATCTACCCCCTGCACGTTCAAATGTACCCCATGGGTGGGGCACATTTGAATAAAAATATACTTCACTTCATAATTAGAAATTAAATTGGTTATTTAATATATAAGGTTGTTATAAGTCAAATAGTATTCACAACTATCTAGACTACAGATTGTAATTATCAAATATAAAATTTGTCAAAAAATTAAAAATTAAAAAAATTAAATGTAAATTTCATTCAAATCTGCCCCACTCTCCCCTACTGATAGCTTTATATATATATTCTCTGTTTTACTTCTTTTTATCAAGGTTTTATTATTGAAAAATCGGTTATGTTGATATATGTCTCAGTAGAGATAAACCTAGATAAAACTTGTAGAGCTCAGTTAATACACCTATATTAAAATTGTTGAGATAGAAGTTTATTTCCCTTCTATGTTCATCTGGTTAACAATTTTAATGAAGTGCCACCCAGACACCCAGTGAAAATTACTTAAAATATGCTCTGCTTACAACTTTTATGTTTTCATTGCACTATCACTATTATTAACATTATCCTAGCCCCTAGGATTAAAAGCTTGAATTTATATTCATGTTGAAGTACCTCCGATGGGAGATAAGATATTAAATTAACTTGTTAGTTATTTCTATACAAAATTAAAAAAAATTATATGAATACAAAGAAATAGGAATATTATCACAGTTAATTTTTGTTTACAACACATCTTTCCTTTTAAACATTTTAACAAAGTATACCTAGGTACTAATTTTTATTTTTATTTATTTTCTAATCGAGTAATTTACAAAAATTGTCGATATAAAAACAAAATATATACATATGCTGAAAAGTAGTAGAACAACGTATGTGGAAGCACACTATTTAGTAGTTGAGATGCTTATTAGTATGTTAGAAAATAAAAGGATTATTAGTAGATTATTCATGAATTTGTTTATAGAATATCGAATAGGCACTGTTCATAATGGTACAAGTATTATAATATTTAGAGATTTCGCACCCCAAGGCACAATAAAATTGTAAATTGTTTGTACATCTTAAAATACTCCCAACTCGATTAAAAATTAAAATTCAATAAAAAGCTCATGAGATTGCCTAGACAACAATCTTACCTTTAAATTGTATAAGAGGTCAATTAATTGTTTAACTAACGGAGCTACACATGTTCTGCTGAGCGTACAATTTACTATGTTACACACTTGCAAGACGGAGACAACGAATTTCAATGTAACGTCCTCTTAAATCTGAGACAGTTATTGTTAAATATCAGAAGAGTTTAAACGTTCTTTAGTTGTCTTGGATCATACATATTATGATTTAATTACTTTTAGTACTGAAAGCGATCTCTCTGCTTAACAATTTGATATGGGACTGGCGACCACAGAAGAGTATCAGAATGTGAGGATGTCAGCAAACTTAATGTTTTATCTCATTGACCTAAGCGCCACATTGCAAATATACGGTCAGCAGAACTAACCGGCGACCTTGTGTGTTGGTTTGGTGGTTCAGAATATTAGATTGAATTTATTGACCAAAGTTCAGAACATAATCCTTATTATACCTTATAGTTTAAGGTTCCCACACACTGCAGGGGTAGCGGTGAAGGCAAAATGAAGCCGACGATAATTTTACCGCCACCGCCGCAGTGCGTGTCAACCTTAATAATTTAATATTGAAGTGAGACATCAGCATGCCATTTCTAAATTGTAATCATTTATACATAAATAAAATATATATGTGTGTAATTTGATTTTAATGGCACATAATAATATATGGTTATAGAATACAATATTAAATAGTATACAATAAGTAATATTCATGCATAATAAGTAGGGCTCGGGACTTAAAGCATTTGCTTATTTTTATAGATTGACTTAAAATGTAGCAGAGTGCTATAGAAGTGTATATTATGTCATGTTACAACACATTCAATTATGAAATTGGAGAGTGCTTTTTTTTTTGCTTTATTCAGCGATTTTTCAAAAAAAATGCTTATTTCAAGTTTTTCTGATAATTATTGCTCTTTTGACCAGTTTTTATACTTTTTATGATTTCCTACTGCAAAGTTGTTTTTGATAGAATTAAAATTTAAAAAATTTAAATAAAAAAATTTATTAAAATGTATTAAAAAATTAATTTTTATTTCAACTATTTGTAAATATTGTTTACATTTTATTTTTCAGAAAATTCCTTGGAATATCCATAAAATCCTCAGTCCTGAAAATGAAGTTAAATTTTTTTTATAATATAAAGATAAGTTTTTTTTTTATTTTATTGTTTTTTTTTTAATAAATATTTTTGCTTAAATTTAAGTTTTTTAAATGCTTATAATGATGTTTTTAAGTGCTTATTTTAATGATTTTAAGTGCTTTAAGTCCCGAGCCCTGATAATAAGTTAAGAATGGAAAAAAATTAAAATAATAATTCAATAATAATTAGGCTAATGTTCGCAGTGGCGCCGAACACGTAGGGCAAGTGGGGTAAATACCCCAGAACTTTTTTAGGGGGTGGGTGGGTGGGTGACCGCTTTTATTATATAATATAGTTGTAATTTTGTAAATACTAAATTGTTTACAGACAACAAATAAGCAAGAGTGCAAGACTCAGCTATAGTCGAGAGACAGCTTATGCTGTAATCAGTATGCGCTATAGGCAGTAGGCACTAATCACTAATAAATAAGCTATGACCAATATTAATATCTGTACACTACACGTTAAAGGAACAAGTCTACACAGTACACACGCATAGGAGTATAAGACTACGGCCGGAGTGCCGGACCCGGCACCGACGCATGATAAGTGATAACCAGTCAACCATTCTACCTCCACCCGCCTCGCCATAACACATTATGCCCGGTGGTGGGGCTGCACGTTCTGTCGTTGGACAGTAATTATTGCAGAAGCAGCTATTTTTAGAAAATAAATTGGAAATATATAAAAATAATACGGATTATATTATACTGATATCACAGTCCATACTCTATTACTCTATGGTATAAACTATTTTGTGATAAATATAATGAAACGACTAATCAGTAACCACTGAAAGCGTTATGAATTAAGCTTACGGGAGGTGTCAGGATACAGTCGTTAAAAGACAATAACACGGTTTACAGTATCAGTGCGATTTATTAAACTTAAATACAAACGTCGCCGGAGCGAAAAACGCGTGACTACGGATAACGGCAGTTCGTCCGCGGACACACGCGTCGTGTCCGGCGGTAACGGCGAAACAGAGCGAGGGTATGGCCGAGTCGGGTCAAGCCGCCCGGAGCGACCGTCTCGTGGCCCAGTGTTGCCACCGGAGGAGCTAACAATCGGCCGTCCTGGCCGCTGGACCGTCCTCGGGCCAGGTCCCCATTAACATGTGTAATTTTCATTTATATACATAAAAAAAATTGAAATATTATCACATAGGGTGAATTTAATAATCACCAAAAACGAATATAAAATAATAATACATAGGGTGAATTTAATAATCACCAAAAACGAATATAAAATAATAATACATAGGGTGAATTTAATAATCACCAAAAACGAATATTAAATAATAATACATAGGGTGAATTTAATAATCACCAAAAACGAATATTAAATAATAATACATAGGGTGAATTTAATAATCACCAAAAACGAATATAAAATAAAGTATGGGTGGTTATGCATAGTCGTCGAGATACCTCGGTTGTCGATGAGTTCTAGCGCTACGCCTTGGCTTGGTAACTGGTAAGGTCGACGTGGATTGCTCGGCCCTTCCTTCCCCGTTATTGGCTTCCCGAATCACGTCATCCTCGTCTCCATCGTCGTCGTCTTCCTTCAGGACTTTCCAAGATTTTAATTGTGAGACATGTGCTGTAGTCGCGTAAGTCTCGTGTCCATCCATGGCGATTTCAGCGACGCGGTAGGTGTCACTCGGCAGTACTTCTACCACTTGCAGCGGTTTCACACGATATTTTGATTGTAGTTTTGTTGATAGATGTGGAACTGGCTGTTTCAACATCACCACAATTTCACCCACTTCATATTTTATGCCTTCGTATCTCTTCCGGTCGTGAGCAATTTTCATTTTTACCTGAGCATTAGTGATGTTTTCGCGTGCCTCGGCTTGAACGTCATGAGGGTCGCGCCAGTCGGTTCCAGTGAGACTAAGAGTGGGTAGAATACCCTTGAAGAAGCGAGGCAGATAACCATGTAAAGTTTCGTAAGGCGTTTTCGTCGTGGATTTGTTTGGTGCGGTGTTTAGCATGTTCTCCACTTGCCGTAATTGCATATCCCAGCTAGTATGGTCTCTTCCGGTAACACTCAACAGTGTAACTATTGTACGGTTAGCCCTTTCCACCTGGCCATTAGCCTGCGGGTGTCGTGTGGAGTTCAGGGTGTGTATTTCGGTGACTTCGGCGTCAGGACGGTACATAGCGACGACTGGGTCCGCACATAACGCGTTCTTTAGTTTTTCAAAAGCGACCTGTTGTTCGTCTCGCCATTCATATGGTACGTCCTTCGCGGTTAGTAGTGTCAATGGCTCGGCCACTTCCGCGTATTTTACTATGAAGCGTCGAAAATACCCAGCGAGTCCCAGGAACCTCCGAACTTCGTGGGCATCGCGTGGTCGCGGAAAATTAGAGAGCGCGTCTATTTTACGTCCCGGACGTACTTCACCTTCTGCGATTCGGAAACCTAGGTAATCCAATGTGCTCATTCCGAATGAGCACTTCGATGGTTTCAACGTAAGATTCGCTTCTACGAGTGCCCTTAACACTAGTTCTAGAACTTCGAGCATGTCGTCCGCAGATTTGGACGGTATGATAATATCGTCAAGGTAAGTATGGACCTTCCCTGCTTCGCTCAAATTCTTGAAGACGGCGGACATTAACCTCTGAAATGTCGCGGGGGCGCCTTTTAGTCCAAACGGCATCCTCTCGAATCGGGCCGTGGTGTCTTCTGTTACAAATGCCGTCTTTTCCTTTGCTTCCTCCGACAGCGGAATTTGTAAAAACCCGTTCGACAAATCTAAGGTCGTAAAGATGCGTCCGTCTGCAAGCTTACTTAATTGTGAATCGACGTCTGGCATGGGAAACGGCTGCGTGACTGTTTGCTGATTCAGCTTGCGGTAGTCGACACAGAGTCTCTTCTCACCGTCTGCCTTATTGACTAGTAACACCGGACTTGCGTAGGTGGAGGTAGAGTCAGCGACAATCCCAGCTTGCTTCCAGTCTTTGAGTATTTTTGATATTGTACGCCGATCCGTCGGCGACGTCTTATAAGGTTTCTGTCTCACAGGCGTGCAATTATCGATTTCCATAATATCCATCGTAAGAACGTTCGTACAACCCAGCTCGCCAATCGATTTCGCGAATGCGCCACGATATTCGTTAATAAGAGATAACAACGTTTTACGGCAAGTTGAATCCAATTCTGGTCCGATTTTAATGTCGTCGTCTGTGATCGGTTCGACGTGGGTTGAGTTCGCGTCACATTCGGTCATTAACACCTGCGGATAATCGCCGTGTATCTCATCTGTCAACTCTTTACCGTCGAGGTGACAATTCGTTTCAAAAATTATTTCATATCCTTGTTTGTAATAATTGACGTGCGGGAGCTCCAGCCAAGTGCGTCCCACCATAACATCCACCGGGATGAGAACGTCGTCAACTATTTTTACGTCGTGGCAATCGGCGACAACACCGTCAATTGTTACCTTCGCTACAGCCTTGCCTACGGCGCTCACGCTTGGTCGGTCAACATTGCCCACGGTGTATAGCGGACAAACTTGCGGCTCGACGATGAGTCGACACTTCGCCGCGGCTGACTGTCGTACCAATACGGCTGAACAACCAGTATCGATCAGACCTGTGAACGACACATCGTTCAACATTACATTCTTCAAAAACGGGTTCGGCTTCCGAACGCTGAGCGCTGCGTCGACTTGGTATGCTTGTCCGGGTTCACCCTTTGCGGCCTGCTCTGCGGATGACGTTGGACACTTACTGCGTCGATGTTGGTTCGAACCGCATCCGGTACATTTCATCGGTCGTTGCGGACGTGGACAGTCACGTGATATATGCCCTTGACCTCGGCAGTTATAGCAGCTGACAGCCGAGGTATGAGACGTTTCGATTCCCTTGTACGATGTATCGGACGTCGTTTTCCCTGGCGGTTTGCCCGTCGGTTTGACGACGTCCTTTGGCGTCGGTACGGCATCGGGTTGTTGCTTCGACGAATTTGCGTGCGTACACCCGTTAACGTAAGTCGAGGGTTTGTTTCGGTTCGGGGCCGACGTTGTCGTAAACAACTGTTGCCTTTTGGTGCGTAGTCGTTCCCAGTCGCGTATGTCCGACAACAATCCGTCGCTGTCCGACTGTTGACGGCCTGAGACCCATTCGGCTTGTTGCTGCGACCTTAGTCCTTCGAGAACGTAGTCCCGAGTTTCGGCGAACGATAAATTTAGCGAACGACACAATCCAATTTTCGAGTAGAAGTAATCTATTGATGGTTCGTTAGGGGCTTGAATACGTGCTTCAAGCTCGCGCCACAAATCTGCTTTTCGCAGATTGCGTACAAACGCTGCGTGGAACCTTTTAACAAATGTGTTCCAGTCATCGAACTGTTCGAGCAGAAACCAACTCCGCGCGGCTTCGGTTACGTGTGAGCGAACGTAAAGTAATCGGTAACGTAGTGGCCACTGATTTACGTGAGCCAGCCCGTCGACCGAACTAATCCAATCTTCCGCCTCGGCACTGGACTCGTGCCCCGAGAATGACCAAATAGACGTCCCAGCATCGGGAAGAATTCGGTAATCGACCGTCGAGGTCGCAGCCGGTGGGTTGACGATCTCCGAGGATTGCTGACCCGTGTCAGACGCTGCCTCCAATTGCTGTAATCTTTCGGTTAAAGCCGTGACTGTGTTGAAAAGCTCAAGATACGTTGGAGCATTCGAGGGGGGTATATCGTTCAGTTTATCGTTATTCGGCATTATGTGTTCGGAAGTGGACTATCGTTGTCAATAACAAACACAAACGTGATCAGACAGTTTTGTTTACGTCGCAGTATCGGTCGCGATAACAGTTTTGTTTACGTCGCAGTATCGGTCGCGATAACAGTTTTGTTTACGTTGCAATATCGGTCGCGATAACAGTTTTGTTTACGTCGCAATATCAGTCGCGATAGCGGTAGCGGTATCGGTTGCGATAACCTCAAAATTCGAATTGTAAATTCGAGGTTAACGGTCAACACTCGGCGCACCAAACACGTGACATCGGCACTTCACACTTCACGAACGGCGAAAACTATGCGGGGCGTTAGCGTACGCAACCACGTCGGCACTTCGCACTTCACGAACGGCGAAAACTATGCGGGGCGGCGACGGAACGCAAAAACGGAAACGTGAAATGTCGGATTCGATCGACCCCTTTGTACGTAAAAGAGTCGTATCCCACTTCTGATTTGAAAGCGTTATGAATTAAGCTTACGGGAGGTGTCAGGATACAGTCGTTAAAAGACAATAACACGGTTTACAGTATCAGTGCGATTTATTAAACTTAAATACAAACGTCGCCGGAGCGAAAAACGCGTGACTACGGATAACGGCAGTTCGTCCGCGGACACACGCGTCGTGTCCGGCGGTAACGGCGAAACAGAGCGAGGGTATGGCCGAGTCGGGTCAAGCCGCCCGGAGCGACCGTCTCGTGGCCCAGTGTTGCCACCGGAGGAGCTAACACCACTAACGAGACAAGAATAATTTGTTTGGACATTTGGAGTCTTGTGTAATAGTCGTATACAGTATACTTGTAGGTTAAATGGTTAAAACTTAAAAGTATTTTTAATCGTGTTCTTGATTCGCAATTCTCATGTCTGTTTTTTTCGTTATTTTTCTAATAATAAAAATATATTGATATATTAAGTTATTAAGTATGAATTTGACGTGTGAGTTTTGTCGACGTGATCGAAATAATCAAAATGGTACAAATTGGAAAAGGCACATCGAATCATGTAAAAAAAAAAATAAAAGACAAAAAGTTAATTTGGATGGATTTTTTGAAAAAATGAATAAAACCTCTACCTGTAAGTGTTCTTTAATTAAATAAAAACTTTAAATTCTATGTAAATGTGTGTACCTTAATATTTGTATAAGAATAAAATAATATTTATTTAAATTATTTAAGCTGTTCAACAAAGTGATACGATGATGGTTAACGTAGATGCCTCTTCACCGCCTTCGAGTACAGTTAAAACATCCAGTATGTACATTTTATTCTTGTTTTTTAGTGTTCATTAGTGTTTTTATTTCGCTCTTTTAATATATTAATTCTGATTTTAAAATGAGTATGTTATGTCACTGTATTACTGTATGTCTGTTTAATCATGTGATTATGTGAAATTCATATTTTAAAGATGATAAACTAGAATTGACGTGCAAAAATTCAACTACAGCTATATCCAGTCCCAGTGAAAATTTAAGTCAGATACAATATATTGCTTCAACTGAATTGAGCACAAATAATTTTGATTCAGGTTAATACATTATACTAATTATATAGGTACCAAGGTACCTACATCATTATATTCATGTTCTATAATTTAATAAAAATGTATTAAAAAAAATAAATATACAAATTATCCCTGCAGATAAACTAGTAGAATTGGACAGTTTCGATAAAAATAAAAGCAATGATGAAAATATATTGATGAATGAAAAAAGTGAAGCACCATCTCCAATAACTGATTACGGTGAGTAAATGGTTCTGTTTATAATCAAACTCGCATATTATGAAATATTAGTTTATTAGTTTTGTATTTTAGTTAGTATATTTTCTAATAAACTTAATTTCTAATAAATAATAACTAAACTAATTAATGAATCTCATTTTAATGGATACTTATTCAAATTATCTTGTTGATATGCCAAATTATTAGTGAAGTTAAAATCATATTTATAGCTTATACATAGGTGTGTAAGAAGAAGGAATAAGATAAGATGCATATTTTACAAAATAAGTTATTATTTTAAAATTATTATAAGTTGCACTATCACTATATGTTGTTAACGTTTATAAACGAAATTATAAACGAATAAGTTATTTTATTTTTAACTGAGTTAAGTTAATCATTTTTTCCTTAATAACTTTAAACTTTTAGAGAAAAATATATTATTTGTCAACTATTAACATTGTCTTAACTTAAATAACTTAGTAATTTGTTTCATAAGCTTGCCTATTTTAGTTTTAGAATAAAATACTATACGTCTATACCTATATATTTTTGTATACTGTAGATCATCAATTACTTTCAAATGATCCTACCAACATTTCTGATGATAATACTATATTGACGGAGAAAGAAGCCGAAGGACCGATACCGTCTCCAACAACTGATTATGGTTAATAAACCATGTAAACTGGCTTTGTTTAAATAAACTGATTATATTTTGAACTCAAACTATTGATAGCAAGACAGTTGAATGTTTTGAATGTCAATATATTATATGTGTATATGCTTTTTATGTCTCACTCTCACAAACACATAACATAGCAAACTATACGTTCTGAATAATTAATTTAACTGTTACGTTTAAATATAATACATATTGAATTGAACTCATCACTCATGTATTCTTGGTTAGTGATTGACCATTTATACTTTTATTAATGCATGCATATTTTGTTTTAAGGACAAAGTGATTCAAGAACAGAGAACGATCCTGTAAGATTTTCAAATACCAACAAAAGATTAAGTTTTGAACAGAAAAATTATATTTTAAACTTGGGTGCATCTCAACCAACAGCTCAGCAGATGCCATTCCAGAAGTTCCCAAAAACTAACAAATACAGTTTTCATCCTCAGTGGTACACTAGAACTTTGCCTGATGGATCTATAGGCTTTCGTAAATGGTTATCATATTCAATTTCATGTGACAAAGTATTTTGCCTTTATTGCATGTTATTCGGTAAATCTCCTAAGAAAGCATGGGTTTATGATGGTGTTTCTCGTTGGAAGGATGGAAACCATATGTTAACGTTCCATGAAACTTCATCTATACACATAGCTGCATCAATCGATGCAACTATACATGAGAAATGTTCCCCAATATTACCAGCGTTAGAAGAAAAAAAGAAATTTGATGTTCAAAATAACAGAGTAGTTGTCAAACAACTGATAAATATTGCACTATTTTTAGGAAAACATGGACTTGCGTTTCGAGGCCATAAAGAAAAGTGGACAGATTCTGTCCGTGGAAATTTTAAAGATCTAGTTGTTTTATTAGCTGAATATTCACCTGTATTGTCGTCATATATTACTCTTTTAAAAGATAGGGGAAAATCTATTACATCATTAATATCATGGCAACGACAAAATCAGTTAATTGATGCTATTTCAAATTCAATTAAGAATTCGATCTTTCAAGAAGTTGAAATTGCTTGTATTTTCAGCATATCTATTGATACAACATTTGACATATCTAGACAAGAACAGGTGTCTTTCATAGTTCGTTATGTTGATGAAAGCAATGGTATGATCTATGAACGTTTACTTGCAATGTGTTCTACTGCATCTACTAAAAGTGAAACACTATTTAATATCTTCAAAGAAGTTTTTAATAAAACTTGCCTTGATTGGAAAAAACACCTAATAGGACAGTCGTATGATGGTGCAGCTAATATGAGGGGTGAGTATAATGGCTTACAATTTAAAATTAAAAATGAAAATCCACACGCTATTTATATTTGGTGTTGGGCTCATCGTCTGAATTTGGTTGTGGAACAAGGTGTTGCAAGTTGCCTTGAAGCAGTTGATTTCTTTGGAATTTTGGGAAAAGTCTTTGACTTTATATGTAGCAGTAAAAATCATGTTTTTCTTTTTGAAAAAAATCAAAAAATTCGTAATCCTAAATTACCAGTTCGTCGTTTGAAACGTGTAACTACTACTAGATGGAGTAGCCACTCTGCAGCTTTAGGTACAATTTTACTGACTTGGGAATCTTTAGTTGATACACTGGAAGATCTCTGGACATCAGAAGCTTCATCAGATGCATCATCATTGCATGCGAACAAGATATTCAAATTAACACTGATAGTGTTATAAATAATTTTGCGAAAAATAGTAGCCAGTTATTAAAATTATTAACTTAAGTACCATTGGTACTTATGAACTATATTTATACAGTGTAACCTGCTTTAATAAAACAATTATTTTAATATACTTAAACAGTTTATATTTTATGAATGAAAGCAAAATTTTAAATCTCTTTGTTGGTTAAATATCTATATTATTAAATTAATTAGTTGTAAAATTTCATTATCTTTCATAAAATTAAAATAATAAAACTTTTTTATGTAGTTTCAAGCCTGGATTAATTATATATTGGTCCTCTTATAGCTCAAACTAAAAACAAATTTTGTAACTACATTTTTACAGTTGTATTTAATTCATTAATTGTATAATTTTATATCATAAAAAAAATAACAAGACTACTAAATTAATAATTATGTAATATTATCATTATAAGATCACGCTGTATTGGTTACTAAACTTTAGGATTTATAACTTAGATTTTTTGTGACCTATCCATATTATACTTATTAATAGTATACTATTAATAAAGAAACTCTATTTTATAATCATCTATGTTCAAAAACAAAACTTATGTTCAAAACTTCCATTTTAATTTACACACATTATTAAATATTTAAATAAAATTTAATTTGTTTTACAATTTAAGATATCTATCTTAAATCTTGATATTAATTATTATTATTACGAATTACTATTAGTAATTTATCGTGATATGAAATTACAAACATTTATAGGTATATATATATATTACAAAGTATTTTATTGTACATTTAAATATTTTATTATTTACTATTTTAATAGTAAAATAATTTTATATTTATAATACAATTTTGAATATAAGCATAAAAAAAATTTATGTGGAAAGAGGTGGGGCCCAGGTTAGGGGGCACCCAGCGGCATGCCCCCCCCCCCCTGCAAGGGTAGGTGGGTAGGTGGTACCCTCAAACAGGGTTTACCCCAGTGGTTTAAAAAAGGTTCGGCGCCACTGAATGTTCGCATTGGATTCCAAACGGGAAGTACTTGGGATTCTTGTTGGAACACAGACAACACTTCTTCGGATAAATGACTCTTGTCTACGACCACTTCCAACACAAATTCTTTAAACAAATCTGTGGTCATCATCAGATAACCCTTTTCGTGGCGTTCTTCACTCCAAGAGTTCTCAACACGCCACTTGGTTGCATTACCATTCTAAACAGATGTAAAAAATCATTGGTTTAAGATAATGTATAATACAAAATGTCTTAAGATAATCCCATTTATGTTTTTAGTTTTTTTATTTAAATATGTATTTATAAACATTTTCAGGTTCGTAAAAAAATAAAATAATCTTAAAATTAGATTGTAAAAAAAAAAATGGTATAAGTTTATAAATGTCTAACTTAAATACAGTAGATTCTTAATATGTCGAACGTCGTTATCTCGAATTTTTCGTTATCTCGAACTACTTTGAATTCCCCTTGAAACTACTATTACACTTAATAGTGTTTTGCTCTCGATAACTCGATATAAAATTAATCGTTTTTCGTTATCTCGAGTTCACAAATAATATTTTTGTTACGGTTAACATAGGAATTGTGCAGTACATTGCATATAGAACAGTCATTTCAGTATTTTAATTATTCAAATTTTAGTCTATTTTAGTCATTCGTATTATTTACTATTCATATACATTATACAACATACATTTATATTAGTTTTTTTTATTATTCAAATTATGTATTTTAGGCATTCGTATTATTTATTATTCATATAAATTATACAACATACATTTGTATTAGTTTTTTATTTTTTAATAAATTTCGATATCTCGAACTTTTTTCTGTTCCCCTTGAGATTCGACATAACGAGAATCTACTGTATTTGTATAACTTGTTGGGGGGAGGGGGGGGGGGGAATGTAAGGCACGAACTTCTGGGCTCCTCCTTTTGGATCTTCTTTGGATCAGGGTAGACAGACAGTAAAAACACGGGCTACGAGCACACGGATTCTATAATACACGGGTACATGGACTCTAAATACACATGTACATTAATTACACGGTCTTTAACACCGTTTTGTAAAAAACACGGGTATCCGTGTCTTAAAATACACGTGAAATAGAGACATCTAATCTAAACATACAATACAATCAATTATTTTACAACCAGGTATTGATAACTTAAACAAAATATTAACAGATTCATTCCTCTTAGTTGCACTTTAAAATTGTTAAGACATATTTTATTGTCCTGTAATTTTTTCCTTACACTTGAGGAAAATGTACAATGAAATAAGTGTCAAGACTATACACACATCATAATATTATTATTTATATTTTATACCAAATTTCAGATTTTAAGAAAGAGGTTGATGCATTTTTTTCAGTAAAAAGATAAAATAATTGTTAAACCAATAAATAATTTCACATTTGAAGTAACATTTGTAAGTAAAATAAACTACGAAAGTAAATTATTAAAACTGAATTGCCAACCCAGTCAAATTAATATTTAACTCCAATCTTCTCAAAATGATTTGACATTACTCTCTTTTTGTATTTTCGACTTATACTTAAGTTTATTATTATTATTATCAACCAATAGCCTGTGTCTCCGTGGGTTTAATCAATAAAAAGAAATAAAAAATGTATTTATTTTATAGAAAAAACATTTTTATACAAACCATACCTTGTCCCAAAAATATATATAGTTAAATTGTTTCATGAATGGAACTCTGATCACTCAGATCACTAATGATCACAGAATATGTTACTGGGAACGTCACATGCTGAAAAATAAACATTTTTAAAATCATTTTAGTAAATTTGTATATTAATATCACATTTAATTATTACTCTATATTCTGGGGATCCACGTTGTAATTCACTATACGATACGGGACGACCATTGTAGTTCTCCATCCCGGGGCACCCGTTTTTTAGAGCGTAAGCTACGCACTTCTTTTGACCTCGATACGAGGCCCGCTTCCATGTGAGATCGTCCCAAGGACAACCGTTTTCCCGTGCATAAACAAGACAATTGAGGTAACCGTTGGCCGCGGCGTTGCTGCACGTTTCAATGTCCCAGGGACATCCGTGTTTGTGTGCATAACGTAAACACCGAAGGTGACCGTTCCCCGAGGCAAGGCTGCACGTTTGTTGATCCCACGGGCATCCATTTTCATGTGCATAAGCCAAGCACTCTAGCTGACCCCATTTCGCGGCATCGTCGCACGTATGGAAATCCCATTCACATCCATTTTCGTGTGCGTAACGTAAACACTGAAGGTGACCGCCGATCGCGGCCCATCTGCACGTGTCCCCGTCCCAGGGGCAGCCGTTTTTATGCAAGTAAACCAGACCCTCGAGGTTACCGTTGCTCGCGGCACCGGTGCACGCGTTCTCGTTCCAGGGGCAGCCGTTGTCTCGAGCGTAAGCCAAACACTGAGAGTTACCAGTCCTCGCGGCACTGCTGCACGTGTCCGGGTCCCAGGGGCAGCTGTTTTCATGTAAGTAAACCAGACACTCCAGGGCACCGGTGCCAGCGGCGGACGATGGCGCACGCGCGTCCCAAGGACACCCGTTCATGTGTGCGTAGATCAAGCACTCTAGCTGACCGTGACCCGCGGCCGTCATGCACGTACCCTCGTCCCAGCGACAACCGTTCTCCCGGGCGTATCTTAGACACTCCAGATTGCCCAACCTCGCAGCCAAATCGCACGCCGTACTTCTGCCGTCTTTTGCCGTAAGGGACTTGAATAAGGGATCCCAAGGGACGCCGATTTCGCGTGCAAGTTTCATGCAACCGATGTGCCCGCGCTGCGCCGCGTTTTCGCATATATGTTTAAACCTGTAGTCACCGATGCGGAATCGTGATCTTCCGAACATGGTCTGCCTGGCGTTGCCCTGGCTTCGGTTTTTGCTGATTTTTAAAACTGCGAACAGCGACTCGCAACAATTTTGCAAATCGACGTCTGGTGTTCTCAGCGAGTCGTACCTCTCACGGTCGACCCTGTTACAAGCGTAGTACGCCGTTTTTACCAAGCTGGGTAGTTCGTACATCTCTGCGTTGGGTCCGACGACGACGTAGCTCTCCGATCCAAATGTACTGCAGAACAGCGCTGTCCACCCGTACGAGTGAACGATCAACAGCTCGCGAGGAAATATAACGTTCGATATCACTGGCAATCGACGTGTGGTGTGATGACGCTCGAATAACGACGTTGAAAAAATTTAGAAAAAACGACTCAAGAGCACGCGTGTGTATACTGTATAGCCGTGCAACACAATAGGAACCCACTGTGGTAAAAAACAAAAAACTACTAAAACAACTCAACGTAACCTAAAAACGATGAAAACAATACAGTTTATAATATTGTTCATCATGAAGTCTCGTGAAAATCATGGAGTATAACGTAAAATGTTGATTTTATTCCAGTGGCGGTAGCCACGTCACTCCACGATGTAGGTAAAACGCAGGGTTGCCAACCTCTACAGCTGAACATATCGTACTGTAGCTATCAAATTATCGTATTTGCCATATTTTTAAAAAAAATTATCGTACAAAAAATCGTATTTTTGTGTACGATAGTAAAGATTTATCGTACATCGTACACAATCATGAAATAATCGTATGCGTGCCGTTTTTACGGCAGTTTAGTTATACAATTGTCCACCAGGAAGCGCTAGGAAGACCGGTTTCGGCATAGAGTAATAAAACTATAGAGGCGGCATTAGGCAGATATTATGATTATCAGATCGAAGCAAAATTGAACGCCATTGTACCCCTCTTACAACTCTAGTGAACACTAGATAGCGTTTTCGACCATGAAATTAAATAGATAATCGACATTATATTTTATTACTCTATGGTCTATGGTGATAACTGATAATAAATGATTAATGTTTGATTAGCATTAAAAATTATAATTTTAATTATAATTATAATTTTTAACTGTATTTTAAATTTTGTAAAATTGTAAGTAACGCGAGTCTAGCCTAAAATCATCATTTGTAAAATTTGTTCTTCTTATTTTAAAATTAATTTTTATTATTCCAAATAAAATAATGTGTTAGTATATTTACAACAATTTATTTTCCATATGATGGTTGCACTGCAAGTACCCCGTTTTCGCTTCACTTTTAGAATGATATGGCCACCCCTTGGGTTTCGGAAATATTTTATAATCAATATGGTGTATACTGTATTTCAGTATATTTGTTTTAAATAATAAACATGTTTTATTAACATAATATATTGATGAACATTGTTTATTTATATTTTATTATTCTTTAGTACCACACTACCGCATTGTAGAACTATTACCATCCACCTAAAACTTATTATTTTTTTAAACATATTTAATATAGTCCTAATTAATATGCCTAACAATTAATGTTTTGTTCCCGCATGTACATCTGGCTATTTGGGTAATACTAAAAAAATAAAAGCAGAAGGGAAGAATGTACCACCAATGTTCCATCCACCACAAGTAATACTTACCCAATAGTTATTTTTTTTTTGTTTTAAATTATAGTAATATTTTGTGTACTTAGGTACTTTAACATACATGTAACCCAACTTAACACGTTGACCACCATGAGGACTCTGGTGTCCACAATTTTTTTTATTATTCTACTTTTTTTTATTATTTCTTTATATAACATTTTAAGACAAAAGAAAACTATACAATACATATAAGTTCATCACTGAATACTAAAATAATTAAATATACAATTAATTATCCATCCCATCAATAGTAATGAACGGTTTTCATACAAATTTAATGTTTACATAATGTAAGTTATATCAAAATTTTCTCCAGGGTTCTTACATTCTAAGGTAATTTTTAGAGACTTTATATTTTCATGAAGACTAACAAGTACAATTTTTGAATAGGTAGTCTGAATTCTTTATTTATTAATAATCAACGGGCATATAAGCCCTTTAACAAGAAAAAAAACATTGCATAATAATTGGCCAATATGAAACTAATAACAGTGGGATAAATAAAAATACAACTAGAAAGACAGAAAAAAAAATAACAAAAAGAGAATATATCTATAAAAACAAAAATATAAAATTAATTAATCAAATTATGTTGTAGGTATTCTGCCAATAATTTATTTTTAAATTTATAATTAAATCATCCATAAATTTGAAAGGTTCTTAAATGTAAAATATAATTTTAAAAATCTACATAACAGCTAATACAAGTAGGTATTCTGGTATAAACATGAACATTTTAAAATTATTTATCTTGCAGGACTTACTATCCGTATGGGATAATAAAATATACCACCGAAAGATAGGAACTGGTTTAGATTTTTGTCGATTTTTAAAATCAATAACCAATAACCAATAATCATAATGTTATTATAACGTTTGCAAGCCCTGTCAAATCCATAAAATATTGCAATTTTTCAACCACTTCAAGATTAAAATTCCCAACTTACCTATTTAAATCACAATAAAATATAAATTATATTTTCAATTAGGCTGACTTGTATTGTTAATTAATTTATTGAATAACAACATGCATTAGGCCAAAATTTGAAACGATTTATTATGAGGGTTTAACCATTTTCCAACATTTTTTTTTTATGGTCTATAGAACTGGTCCTTCTGAATACAATAAAAAATTGGCAGGAGTGTTGGCCGGTTTTTTTTGTCTGCTGACTTTAAAAATTGAAAAAAAAAGTTTTAGAGGTGTGTATTGAAAAAGATAATAAGGGGCCTCAATATTTTGGTTTGCACACAGGCCTCAAGTAACCTAGTTACGGCACTGCGGCTGTAATTCTTTCCTAGTTTTATATTTTTGAACTTTTACTGAACTGTCCGCAGAACTAGTTTCAATATCTGAACTATCGGATTCTGTCATATATAGATGGCTAAGAGGCCAACATTTGTATGTCCAATTTTTCTCAAAATTGTTTTATTAGTTCATAGGGTTTATCTGTGTCGTCTTTTTGATTCGGTAAAACATTATAAGTCAATATCATGATTAAAACATGTTTTATTTATACTTTAAATTTTTGTGTTTTTAGTGAAAGATATGTTTTTTTAGTGCACACATATAACAAGTCCTAATTTAATGAGACATACGATAAATATTTTAACATGATCTAAATACTAAGCGGACAAATATAACAAGTCCGGACTTGTTACTTTTGTCAAAAACAATTTATTGAATTTTGGACGTGTAATGTTTTAGATAATATTGAATTTGTTTATCTATTTATAAAAAAATAATATGTCCGAACGTATTATTTTAAATAATAAAAATTTTTAATTTTAAATTACACTAAATAATATGATATCTTCACTTAGCATAAAATATCATTAAACACTGGTTTTATTTGACTAAAAATTCGATGAAAAATGCTACTTTATTATTTTTCACATTCAATAAAAAATTCCAATATATTTTATATTTTTACTTTTTTACTGCAATTTTATAAACAAATTGAATTTTTTATATTAAAAAAATAAGTCTTACGTACATTTTAACTATTTATGTAATAAATTAATTAGAGTTTATATTAAATTAACAACTTTTAATATGCCCATCAAAATATGTCCACGGTAAAAATATATTATAATTGCCATTCATAACAAGTCCCATTTAAATTTAAAAGAAACATAATTACGTTTGAAAAAATTTTAAAACCTAAAAGTAATAATTTATGTGATCTACAGAATATTTTACCAATAAATCAGTTGCAACACCGAAAAACAAAAATCTACAACGCAAATTATTTGGTGTAGAATAATTTAAAATCTTAAAACTGCTCTCCCGAAAAATTTAGTATTTGGGACATACAACTTTTGGCCTCTTAGCCATCGATATATAACTAAACATCAGGTACATATAATTTATATAAATTATATTTATTAATTTACTTATTCAAATCTATATAATAATTATACTATAATCGTATTTTGTTATTTTACTTATTCCATTAATATTCTATCCGCGTATTTAATTACCAATAGTATTTATTCTACATATATATATACTATCAGGCCCTATTATTTGTAAAATTTTGGACTGCACATTTCATTTTATTCTCGCTACCATTTTAGCAAAAGGAATGTATTACATAATACATATTACATATATAATAGGTATATATATATTATATACCATATTATGTATACAATAATTTAACAATGCAATTCAATAAAACAACAAAATACTTATCTTTTAATAAAAATCATAAAAATTAAATAGCATAATATAATAATAAAAACCTTAACTTAACTTTTTAATAATTAATATCATAACAATGCATATTACTTTCTTGATTTTTCATCAAGTAAGTATAGTAATTGAAATGAAAAAAGTCTGAACTTTGAAAACTTCAAGAATTTGTGTTTAATAGGAAAATAATAAAAATGTAACTCAGTAATGATGAATAGGTGGGTAATTTAGCTAGCTTTAATATAAAATATTAATAAGAGAGATTTTATATCACACCCAAGCGGTATACCCAATTTGAATCGATAAAAACATTCGCGTGAACAGTCCCAAAATTTCTATTTTTTAACTTTTATCCTAAACTATGATACCTAGCTAGAAATTTGGTTGATAACTCATTAAAAAGGGATTATCAGGTAGACACTAAATGTGGAATTAATTTTTTTTTTTTTAATTATTTAATTTTTCACAGATAAAAAAAAAGAGTTATTTTCTCTAGATTTTCATTTAGAGATGTAGATCTCCGAAACTGGAGAACGGATTTTGTTGTTTGGGGTCTTGTTAAATTCACATTTGCTAGGAGAATTGCAGTGAAGATTTTCAGAACTTTATCTAAAATCGTTAATTCATTACAAAGCTGTAAAGATGAAAAACATCAAAAAACGCCCAATAAAATTTGTTTTAATTTATTTTAATGTTCTGTAGTGAATTAACTATTAAAGATAAAGTTCTGCAAATCTTCACTGCACTTCTCCTAACCAATGTGAATCTAACAAGACCAAAATCAACGAAATCCGCTGTCCGGTTTCGGAGATCTATCTCACTAAATGAAAATGAAAATGATTTTTTGTGGGGCTGTTC